TCCTTCCCTTTTTTTTTTTTTATTTCCAATTTTTTTTGGGGGGGGGGCGTATTCTGGTGATTCTTGTACCCGGGAATAGGGGACGATGGATTAAATTCTTCTGGAAATGAAGCCGGGAGGAGAGCGGAGTCTCTGGATACCCGGAATGCCGGGACGGGGGGAGCGGGGACGGGGTTTTGGGGGGAACTGGGGGGATTTTAGGGCTCTTTATGGCCTTGTGTCTTGGGATTTGGGGACAGCGGGGGTTGGATGAGGCCACCTCGTGGGGGCACGGGGACCAGGATGTGGCTGTGTCCTGGGATTTGGGGACACTGGGGTCAGGATATGGCCGTGTCCCTGGGAAAAGGGGATACTGGGGTCAGGATATGGCCCCGTGTGCTGGGATTTGGGGACAGCGGGGTCGGAATGTGGCCTTGTCCCCATGGACACGGGGACAGCGGGGTCAGGATGTGGCCCCGTGTCCCCAAATACGGGGACATCGGGCTCAAGATTTGGGCTTGTCCCCAGGGAAAGGGGACACCGGGGTCAGGATGAGGCCACATCTCGTGGACTTTGGGACCCTGATGTGACTGTGTCCTGGGATTTGGGGACACCGCGGTCAGGATGTGGCCCTATGTCCCAAAATATGGGGACATCGGGGTCAAGATTTGGCCTTGTCCCCAGGGAATGGAGACACCGGGGTCAGGATGTGGCCCCATGTCCCAAAATATGGGGACACCGGGGTTGGGATGAGGCCATGTCCTCACGGAAAGGGGACACTGGGGTCAGGACAAGCCACATCTCGTGGACACGGGGACCCTGATGTGACCATGTCCTGGGATTTGGGGACACCCGAATCAGGATGTGGCCTTGTCCCCATGGAGAAGGGGACACCGTGTGGCCACGCCCCGTGGGCGCTGGGACCCCGACGTGGCCTTGACCCCGGGGACACCGAGGTCAGGGCGTGACCTTGACCCCGGGAAAGGGGCCACGAGGGGCCGCAACCCGTCCCTGTCCCGGGTCAGCGGGGCCAGTTTGATCTAGGTTGGGCATCCCAAAGAGCATGGCTTCTACCACTTCCCACCGGAGAGCACTCCACAAACAAACTGCATCATCAAGAACTTTCCTCCCAGATTCCACGTTCTCGTTTCTACAAGCTCGTTTTAGCTCTGCCTGTAGTCCCTCCTCTCCTTGTCATTTAACTCACCCAAATGTGTGAAGAGTGGTCTCCGATTGGTAACATGGACCACGGTGGTGTTATAAGGCAGGGAAAGAAATGTAACGTACTCTGGAAGGATGGAAAGAAAGAAAATATGGTCACGTTCCATTACCATACCTCTGTTAAAAAGGCTGGGGATTACAGATCAACCCTTCGTCACCTTACGAGCACGCTGTCCATTGGAGGACAAGCCTTACAGGCAGCAACAAAGCTTATTTGCAGACCGGGACTGTATAGCTAACAAAAAAATATGGATACAACAGTGATGGCCAGCAGACTAAATTCACACTGACCTTAGCTCTATCAGCTTCGCTTGAATATAGTGATAGTGAATACAGTAAACAAAACTAAACTGAATTCTGTGTCCTGTTCTCATCTTTCTTTTGTTCTTTTAATGTTCTCTGCTAATACCTATATGTGATACTGCAAGAGCCAGATCAGTTCCCAAATGGATGTTCAACATCTCAGGAAGCACCTGACACGGCCCCCATCTCCCAGTAATTTGCTGGACTTCCCAAACTGCTGCATTTCTGGTCCATGCCCAGCGAAAAACTATGACCAAAAAAGTCACTCTGTCTAGACAACAGCTACCTCCCTGCTACAGATCTTGGCTGCCTTCTCTGTTGACTACCCAGACGCCATCACCATATCCGCCGTAAAATAAAATCAAGCAGAAGCCGAAGCAAGAAGTCACATACAGAAGATTATGTGCACTGAATATGCATACAAATATGCAGCACACAAACACTACCATCATGTTGAGCCTGAGGGTGAGGACTACACACCGTTAGCTTTTCCTTCTGTGTAAGATCCATTCACTCCGGTGCAAGTGGCATTATCACCCCCACAGACCTTGCAAGAGTCCATTACCTTCTTGGAGTCCATCTGGCCATCACACCCAAACGCCTGAGCAAAGGGGAGAATCTGTCAAAACTTGCCTATTCTGAGATGAAAACAAGCAAAAGAAAGCAATGTTGCCTGAATTCCTGAAACTGCCTTTTCCATTTGTAATTTGAATTTAAGAAGACAACATCGCCTCAGGCTCTAACCTGGAGGTGGGGGGGGGAGAAAGAAAATTAATAAATTACCTTTTTTTCCGGGAAGAGAAATTTGTAATTAAGAGGGAAATCACAACAAGACCCCGTGAGGTGATGCCGCTTTCCCGCGGCGTGCCTGTGATACGTGAGGCGGCGGCACGCGTACCTGCCCTGCCTAACGAGGCTTTAATTACTTTGAAAATGAACGTCGGGGATGTCGGGGATGTCGGCGTCGGGACCGCGTCTTCCCATCCCGGTTTTTCCGTCTTCCAGCCGAGGGCAAAGTGCGGCGACGCCGTCAAGATCCGTTTCGCCTCTAAGGGCGTCTGAATGTCAGTCCCGGGAGGCTGCAGGGTGCCGGGCCACGGGGTTAAGGCTTCCCCGACCTGGCCCGGTCCTCTCTTTTTAAGCGTTAATTGGGGCGGGGGGGTTTATTCCCTGCGTGATCCCTCGCCGTTTCCGGAACGCTTCGCCTCCGCTCCCGAAATACTCGGGCGTGGAAATCGTTCCCTGGAGCTCAGCTTGAAAATTGAAACCTGTTTCTCGCGTCAGACGAGCGGAGGATGTCGCTTTGGCGGGGAGGGGGCTCCGCTGGGGCGACGTTAAGGTCCGATGCCTTCGCCGCTTGGTGCGAGCCTCGGGGGGTGATTTGGGGCATCGCTCCGTCTGGACGCCGGGTAGCGAGATGCCACGATAACGATAAGCTCCTCTCTAATTGCTTTGTGTTCTTTTCTAGGTTATGGAGACTGGAACTCTGGGACGAACCGAGGCAAGTACAGGAAAAAGTGGAGTACAGGTTTCTTACCTTATTATCTATCTGGATTTTTGTAAAGCCTTTGACACGGTCCCCCACAACATCCTTCTCTCTAAATTGGAGAGCCATGGATTTGATGGGTGGACCGTTTGGTGGATAAGGAATTGGTTGGATGGTCGCAGCCAAAGGGTAGTGGTCAACGGCTCAATGTCCAGATGGAGACCAGTGA